TTGATGGGCACTGCCGACGGCCAAAGAAGAAGGCCCAAGGCCGCTGCGGTGATGTCAGTTTCCAGTCAGGTGAGCGTCGAATGCCTTGGGCAGGGGGGGAGTGGTCTTTTGGTTGGCGTGTTTTGGCTAGCTCCGGGGATGTTGGGCCATGTGGTTCCGGGGGTTGGACAGCCTTCTTAGTGCGCCAGCCAGCTGAGGTCCAGTTGCTGTGGAGGGAGGATGCAAAGTGTAAAAGCCGCACAGATGGAGGATCGCGTTAGTACCTGCTGAAAATAACACTTTGATTTTAATCCGGTGTTTTCAAATAATATTCTTTTTATTTACAATAAATTTAATATTCCGAATAAACTGAAACCTAGAGAACAAACCACGATTATCCCGAATACACGCCATCTCTCCCCTCGTTCCCCAGATGGGCTGTGTAGTCTTTGAATTAGTCACCTCGATCGCGGGGATGAGAATGAGACGGGATGACACATGCCGGAGTTGGCGGGTAGATGACTAACCGAGACTTTCTGCTTCCAGCTCTGCTTTGCCCAAAGTTACCGCCTGTAGCCGCGGTCTACAGCGGACGTCCATGTTAAACGCCCATCGAGGGCGCCCGAAGGCCGCGCATTCCCACGGACCGGACGACGATGCGCACTTCCCTTGCTCCCCTCCCGCCGTGCTCGCTCTCCGTCGCCCAATTGATCGCAGCTGAGCCACCAGGAACAACTTGCCTCGCTGATTTACGAAAGGTTACTGGACTCCCTCGGATATCACGGTCAGCCACTCCCTTGCGCTCCAGCAGGGGCTGGTGCTTGCTTGTATCAATCCCTGAGGCGGTGCTTCCGGCTCCCTCCCCAATGAAATCAAAATCGCAAGACGATGAGTGCTGCGATTGAACGAGCAATAACACGACACAAGCACAGCCCAGTCATCACCATCATCACCCTCGTCGTCCATCATCAGCTGCAGCCAACCATCCATTCACAAATACCGAGGCGATTGATCTACAGCAACATATTTTTGAGTTTGAGAAGTACTGAGTCACACCTGGTCTGTCAACGTCCGACAGGGCCTCGAGTTGCAGCTTCGCTTCGTCTAGAACCAGAGGAAACGCGCAGGAACCAGTCACGGCAAGCTTTCGGGAAGCACATGGACTGCCGTGCATGGCAAGCGTGTGCGTATTGCGCCGCCCATCAGGTTTTTGCGCCCACCTCTTTTGCTCCCTTTCGCATTTTCCAAATTGTTTCTTACGAATGGCAATGGAGAGGAGAGATGCCATGCCGAAAGCGCGATTGTAATTGGGGCATAATTCTGCCCTTTTATTCTTACTTTCTTCGTCAGTGTATGGCCAACGTCGCGCGTTCCCGTCAGACTAGATCAGGTGTCGCGCGAACCACGGCCAGAGTGCGAGAGTTTGGGAGAGGGTCCCAAACAGTGATTGAAACCGAACTAAACGGTCTGAATTGAGAAAGGACGTTAGGTCTGGCAGCCGTGTTGATTGTTGTGTCTTCGGCCGAGAGAGACAGATGCCTATCGCGCCTGGGGGAAAGACGTTCTCGCATCTCTCCCCTCCCCCACGCGCGCAACACACCAAACGTTTGGTTTGCGCCGCCACTTGGGACGGACGAGGGCAATCAAGGGCCGAGGATGGGGGATGCCAGAGATGGGCTGCTGCAAGCGCCAGGTGCACGGCGCATCGAGTCCCAACATCTTGGGATTGTGAGATGTCTGCATCGGACCTGATTGACCCAAATCGGAGTGGCATGGGCATGGGCATGGGCGTGATGGTGGTGTTGTTGACGAGGGAGGTGGGCAGGAAAAGCACAAAGAAATAAAAATAAGGAATCTGATATCTGGAAAATAAGAGTTGAATAAAATAATAATATTATTATTATTCAGAGCTGAGGAGGTATCTATCTGACAAGCATGTCACCATCATCACCACCACCACCACCACCACCCACACCCATCGACACCATCAACTCCGACCTGGGACGGCCCCACCGTTTTCCCCAGACAACGGTTACGGGACTGGACTGGCTTGGGAGGCTTCAGTGTTCCTCCACGCCTTGTCTTGGGTGGCGGTCCAGCGGTAGCGCCAACGGTCCGCCACCGTCCGGTACCTAACGTAGTCCCCGCGGGCGCCTCTTCCCACTTTGGGGCCCCCCAACTCAACTCAACTCCCGTCCCTCACCGCTCGGGAAGGCTGACTTGGACTTGCATAAACACCATGGTCACCAGGTCCCTTCGCTGATGTGCTGGCAACTCTCCCTACACCCAGTGTTGCAATCCAAGCCCTCACGAGCGACCGTCCTCGAGGCCGCCCGGCATCGTCGTCATCGAAGGAGAGCAGAAAACCGAAAATAAACCTTTCTCCAAGGCATCCATCCGAAGAGAAAGCCTTGGTTTTCGACCAACATCGGCTGATGAAGGGAAACTCATCGCCCAAGACGCCAGCAACCTAAGGTAGGTCGTATTGCCTCCTTTCAACACATCGAGATGCTGCCACGACAACTGCCTAGATCACCTCCCATCCCAAACAGACAAGACACTGATGGTGGGCTGCCGTCGACGGTCGGGCAGGGCCCTACACACCTCCAGCGTCCCACTGCATCTGCCGGCGAATCCTCTCCGTCGCCTTCCCGCTGCGCCGGTCTGCTGCCAAAGCCCATGGTGAGCACCATACACACAACAGACTGACCGAGTCTCTGCTTCAAGAAGTTCCAGGCACGCTACGCATACACTTAGACGCGCATTCTCTCTCTCTGCAGTTGATTGACAGGCTGTCACCGTCACGGGCCGTCCATTCTCATCCACTCACCCGTCTCCAATCCCTATCTTCGGCCCTGCCTTCGCTCACACTTACATGCAGCGGGCTTGCTTCCGTCGCACTCCCCCGGGCCACTGGTATTCCCCCATCGCCTCGATACGAAATGCGCGCCCACGCCAGATCCCATTTTGTTTCACACCATCTGCTCCAAAAGTCCATCTTCTCCTCCTTCACCGGCCAGCCCAGTCCTTTTGAAAAATCAGTATCGTCGCCGTTTTCCCTCTCAAAAACGCCCGCCCGCGCGCCCTCATGCACTACCTTCCCCCACCGTCGCAAACACATGTCGTCCGTCCAGGCCCTGTGGCGTCCTGTCGTGCTCCATGCACTTAGTCAAAACGTGCAACTTTTCTCTACATGTCTTGGTCGACCCGTTCCAGATCAATGCATATCCTGCTGCTGGCGTTGACCGGTGATACGGTGGTAAGAACGCTTCAGATGACCCACCCCGCCCCGGGAGCGCCCAACGGCCACTCTCTACCTCTTGTCGCCGGTCACTCGGCGCCTGCTACGCGCAAACGAGGGATACGGAGGCCCAGGTGAGGCGAGAGCACCAGACAGAGGGGGCCGTCGGTGCTGCGGCCGGATTGTCGGTGTGCCCTTCCTCAGAGGAGGGATCGGCAGCTTCAAGCTTGTCACGTTCGCATATGCTGCATGTACGCTGTATAATAGCCCATGATGCAGAAGGTAACTTCCTTCGCCAACAATTGTCGGCATTTTTGGTGTTGTTGGGCAGCGACTGAGCAACCCTTCATTCGGCGGCTGCTTTCCCCGGATTTCCATCACACCTCACCTGGGACATGCTGCGCTGGGCATCACGTTGTTGAGAGACACGCCAGCTCATACATTTCCAGTCATGCGGATTCATGGCTCACCGGGTGTGGACTTCATCCCATTCAGGAAGATATTCTGCCCATGGCGATGGCTCACGTTGGGCATAATTGAGATGTCCTTTGTCGAGAAAATAATATCAATGGTCACATTTACGTCACCTGGACGCGGCGACTGGTTCATGGCCCTTGGATGTGTTGAGGCTCCGGTAGCCCTGCCTTTGCATGGTACGGCGTCAACGACAACCAAACCAGATGAAAATAATGATAATCAAACGTCAATTAAATAAAATATTAGCTGTTTTTTTATTTTCCATTATTTCTGTCACCTATTCGTTCGGCTGGTATCGCATCGTCTCACCCGCATGATGCCGCTCCAGTGGCGCATGCTTCACTCGCGGTGGCTTCGGCGTCCAAGACCCCTGGTTTTAGGGTGGCGTCCGGTACTTCTCTCACTACTACCAAAACAACTACCGTTTATGCGAGGCCTGACGGGCTCATGATGATGAAAGAAAGCCTGGATGCCCAAGAGTTCGTCTGTGATTCACAACCATACGGTACGCTGCGAATCTGGCTGTGGACGGTGCATGTGATTGAAGGCCCATGGTGAGGGTCTAGTCGAGGAAATTACCATTTGTGATTCCACAGTCTCTGTCTTTTCTCATGATTGGTGAAGCTCTGGTTGCAAACATCGTGATATGGACAATTGGGTCGATGAGTGTTGGTCTGCCTATGTCCTCACTAGAGAACGTGGAATGCCTGCGGTCCTGACTGGCGATAGACACATTGAATATACACTCTGCGACGATGCAGAAATCCGCCGTGAGAAACAAGCAACACAGCTACTGAATTATGAAACCAAGTGAAGCTTCAGTCTCCAATCTCAAGTTGCTTGCCCAAATGGGACGATGAGTCAACCGGGGACGGCGGCGCTAGTTCTCAGACCGATCAAACGAACCAACCCACTAACATGCTGCCACCGCAAACCCGCAGGCATCTGTTAAACGAGACGAACCACTGGCCCCACATTGACTCACGTCGACTCATCGTGTATACCAAGCGCCGTTGCGGAGCTGCATCTCGGAGATTCCACGACATCCGGCCCGGGCCAACAGTCGCCACAACATCCACCCGACCACCACCCTCAAATATAACGACACATCCGCCACCCTCATCTCAAGTTGAGAAGGCTTTCATCCGACAGCATCCCGTCAAATCACCTGCTCGCCCGGCGACAAGCACTGCTCAGCCCGCAGTTCGTTCTTTGCATTTCGTCAGTTCAGCTCATCACCTCATTATCTCTGTTGAGCATTTTTCTTTTCCTCCCTCGTCAACATCCAGCCCGCCCGCCCATCATGATATCAATCAACCAGCAAGGCGGCACCACCCACCAACAAGCCGTCCCCCGGCCCCGCAACGACCGCGTGGTCCCGAAACCAGTCCCTGCCGCCCAGTCCAAGGACCCCCGCGGCTACCAGCTCGGCCAGCTGCGCAAGCGCTTCTCGCCCCGCGAGTCTACCGTCGACGGCGGCGCCGCCACCTCCCTGGTCTTCAAGCTGAAGCCCTCCGACCCGGACTTCCCCTTCGAGCTGGAGCACCTCGAGTGCGACCTGCGCGTGCCGGAAGACTACCCCGAGGCCGCCCCCGTGCTGCACGTGCGCAACAGCGACATCCCTCGCGGCTTCGGCGTCAACGTCGAGCGCGGATGGGACCGCCTCGTCCGCGAGCGCCAGGGCGCCTCCCTCCTCGCGCTCACCTACGCCCTGGACAAGAACCTCGAGGTCTTCCTGTCCGAGCAGAAGGCCGACACCGTCAAGCTGGTTTCGTTCAAAGACACCAAGGACACGCGCCATCTCGAAGCAGCAGCAGCCGGCGGCGCATCTTCGCCAGCACCGGCAGCGCAAGCGCCTTCTCCAAAACCGGCACCCGTCAGACGCTACGAGCCCGAGGAGTACTTCACCCAGGAGGAGATGGCAGCCGCCAAAGCCCGCCGTGCGCAAGAGACGCGGCAGCTCGAGACCCGCATGGGCCGCCTGTCGCTGTACCGCCGCTCGCCGGACGGCATCGTGTACACCCTGCCCCTGGAGCCTCGCCGCCGCGGAGAGCTCCCCGGCGGCCTGCAGAGCGTCAAGACGGTGCACCTCATCGTGCCGCTGCTCTACCCTCTCCAACCTCTCCGCATCCAGATCAACGAATGCGAGTCCAACGACGCCGAGCCCCTTGAGGAGCTCTTCGTGCGCAAGGCGGCTGAACAGAAGCAGATGACGCTCACGAGCCATCTGAATTACCTCGCGCAGAACATGCACGTCCTCGCGAAACAGGCCCTAGCACCGCCCAAACCCGCCAAAACTGAGCCTGCCGTGGCCCCTGAAAAGGACGCCAAGGCAAAGGCCCCGGAAGCCGCCGCGGACGAGGATCGGAGCCACGTCAAGGTCATCCCCCGGCCGCCGGAGTGGGACCGCCGAGCCCGCCACGGAGCCGACGCCGATGACGACGACACCTCCGACAGCTACGACTCTGACTCGTCCAACAACGGCGGCGCCAACCTCGACGCCGAAGCACCCACGCTCTCGTCCGGCCTCACCCCTGAACGCGGCACCTCCATCTCCTTCCCCGACATCGAGCTCCACAGCATCGAGCTCTTCCAGGTCTCCATCCTCAACCTCAGCGTCAAGTGCACCCGCTGCAAGACCGCCAACGAGATCACCGGCCTGCGCCACGAAGCCCCGCAGACTTCCAGCTGCCGCAAGTGCGCCGCCGGCTTCGCCGCCCAGTTCCGCCACCAGCTCGTCCACGCCAACTCCACCCGCGCCGGCTTCGTCGACCTCACGGGCTGCACCGTCGTCGACATGCTGCCCAGCACCTTCGTCCCCGTCTGCGCAAAGTGCTCCACGCAAAGCCAGGGGCTCGTCTCCGTCCGCGGCGACGCGACCACCAACGTCTGCCGCACCTGCCATGGCAAGTTCACCTTCAAGATCCCGACCGTCAAGTTCCTCGCCATCAGCGCCAGCACGCTCGCCGCGCCCTCCGCCGGCCCCGTCAAGAAGGCCGAGAAGCTCGGCCTGCACGCGGGCACCCCGCTCCCGGAGCGTGGCGCGTGCGCGCACTACCGCAAGAGCTACCGCTGGTTCCGCTTCTCGTGCTGCAACCGCGTGCACCCGTGCGACCGGTGCCACGACGACGCCGAGGGCCACGTCAACGAGTGGGCGAGCCGGATGGTGTGCGGGTGGTGCAGCCGCGAGCAGCGGTACTCGCCCGACGCGTGCGGGTTCTGCGGGCGGAGCGTCATCGGGCGCAAGGGCCGAGGGTTCTGGGAGGGCGGCAAGGGGACGCGGGACCGCACGCTCATGAGCCGCAAGGATCCGAGGAAGCACAAGAGGGTTGGCGGCGGGGAGTCGTCGAAGAAGGACTGAAGATGTGGTTTACTTTTGGGGGTGAGGTGTGTGTCTGAGATGATGGATGGGTTTGCATGTGGTGTGGTATATTGATATCATTAGCTTCTCCCTGAGTGTTTCTCGAGATACCACCACCTCCGAATTCACTCTTCATGTCTCACTATCGTGTTATCATCCCGCGCAGAAACATCTCGTTGCCGCGAAGATAGGGCTGCTGAGCGGCTAGTATACACCCTCGTCACAAAAACGCAACGGTGATGGCTGCCGCCGGTCTCCCCCTCCCCCACGGAACAAGCGCCGGACCCTGGCGGCAGACAGCCGGACGAGATTCGTTGTGCAATGTCAGATTTTGTGCAACCCATTCAGGCACAAAATGTGATGAGGAGCCGTAGACACCGTGATTGGGTCAAAATGATGGTCATCTGCTCACGCAAATAGTTGGCGGTCGAGCCGTGATTGGGGTAAATTCGGTGAGCTGTAGTGTTGCATGCCGACGGTGTCATTGGTCAGAAGACGTTAAGCGCTTCCTTGCCACCGTCATCACCTTCAGATCAGCAGGGAGTCTGATTTGTGATGAAGCCTGTAAGGACCGATACGTTGAGAACAAGTAAAAGAATTCAAAAATATTCAAATATTCTTTTTTATTCTAAACAGCGGACATGATATTTTCGAATAAATCAACCGAATATTTTAGACGAATACGTCCCACAATCCCCTGGCTTTCCCCTTGTAACGCCACCGTTTACGCCGACATTATATTAAAATCCCCGTCTTTCTTGTCTTTTAAAGTTTTCAACCGCCAAAGTCCATCCTGCCACATGGGGATTATTACTCCAGCGAAAAGAGCGGTACAGGGACACCCCGTAGGACCCCGTAGGGCAGCTAGAGGAAACAGCGAGCATTAACCACGAAATCCCACGAATCACAAGCGGGAGGGTGTAAGCAAAGCAAAGAGTAGTTCTTGCGCCGGCGCGGTCGCCGGGGCCCCGGATGGATGCTTGCTTCCCCGGAAGACCCAGCCGGCTGGGTTTTGTGGGGGAGGGGGGAGAAACCAAGCTTCTTCTGGATGTCAGGCCCGTGCTTCTGCATCTTGCATCTTGGGGGAAATGGCCTTCTTGCCCTTTTGGAGACATGTCGTGAGAGACCATGAGCGAACGCACTGCAGCCAGGGTAGAAGGGTGCGGGGAAATCGCGTGGTTTGGACAGAGTGACTGGAGCGATTATTGCATCGCCGGTCGAGGGCCTGGAACGCTTGGGACTGTTGACTGCATGTGAAAGGCGAGGGGACGCGTACATGTTGGCTCGGGTGTAGTTCACTGGATAGGGTACCGGTGTGCAAGGGGCGGATATGACCACAGGTTTCCATCACTTTTCGGAACTGATACCTGTCATCGAAGCGATTTGTCCACGTCTGTACCTTGCATCAATGTCAGGGGCGCATGGCCTCTTGCCAACACGTGGGATGGACTGGCTGCCTTTAGTGCCAGACTTTCCGGTCCATTCTTTGCTTCGGGTTAAAGACGAAACCGCAGGTTAACCCAAGCGTAGGAATGTCTCTCCCTGAAGCTGACGGTTGCTTTCCAAGTGCTGTTGCTGCCGGGGTTTCTCAGCCTGTCAGCGTACTTAGCCGCTCATCCGCGGACAATAGAGCTCCAGCTAGCTCGAGATAGCTTCCCTCCAAGGAGCTTCCTTAGCTTCCCCGGCATGATTTGGCATATGCTAATCATCAGCCATCATCATCTACGGCGGTTACATTCAGAGTCGGGCTTGTGCCGCCACCTTGGACGTCAAAGGGCGCGCCAGTGAATGAGACATTATATCAAGCCATCAGCACTATCTGCTCGCATCGGAAGCATTCCCCTAGGGCGTGAATCCCGCCCGCAATGCCATATTGTGACCAACGCCGTCAAATCTCGCAAACCTCTTTGAGGAGGACCATGGGGGCGCCTCACAGGTAGTCCAGACTCTAGTTTGGACACGCGCCATGTGGTTGACGACAAATTGCATCTTGCTGCATTGTTGGTTGAGTAGGCTTCCGGCGCACGGCCCAGACCTTCTCGCCCGATGCCGCCGCATTCCCACGCCGGCGCAACACCAAATCTCGGGGTCTGCGTTCCGGTCTGCGGGATTGGCTCGGTAGGCTGCTCCGTCGGTAGGCTTCGCGACCAATGCAACAATCACTCACACACACCCACTTTTCCGTCCCGCGTCCCGGTACCATACTTGGTGGGTTCTTGGGTCGTTAGGATGATCGGACGGAGCGGTCTGCCCGCCGTGCCGTGCAGCTTCTTCTGCCTTGCGCCGAAAGGAAAAAAGGCCCCCCTTTTTCCTCATGTTTGGAAACGTAAGTTCCCTTTAGTTGCTTATCTGGTTCCTTTTATTATATTCTGCAACGATATGACGGTGCTTTTTAAGGTTCTTTCTCATGTCTATTCATACTTGATATTACAGGAGAAACGGTGTACTGATTGCTAACGGCGAAATCCGTCTCTGATTTTGGGCAGCCTATCTCCCCGTCCCGTTTCTTGGCCTTTTTCCTGCCGTGCCATCTTGTATCACATCGACGTGACTCAACGACGACTAATAGTTCTACACCCCGAGCAGTCGTTACATGTGGAGGTCATTCTTACCCCGGGTTTCTGCCTCCATCTTTCATTATACAACTTTACCCCAGAATCTGACATCGTCCCCGCGCGGGCGCCTGGGGAGTTTACACTCCCGCTCGAGTCACTTCGGGCGATCCAACTGGTTCGCGATAATTATGAAGCAGCGCCCTGCATCGTGCGCCCTCGCGACTGGACCAACTGCACCGCACGTATCTTGTTCCGGAGGCTCATGAGTCGAGTCTTGCAACCACCCTCGCCCCGGAAAAGTAACCAGCCAGTCGGTTGAATGAACATCCTCAAACCTCGACCAACGAGAACCTGCGGAATCCGACTTGACGTTCGTAAATTGTCAAAACCGCATGCATCCGTGTCAGGGTCCTTGACATGTGAATATCTCCCACCCACCAACCAAACACCCCTCCTCTTCCCAATCTTTCAAGGGAACAGTAGCGATTCGATGTCGTGACCGTAAGAGAGCGGGGTGCAAGACGAACGGCCTACCTACATCATCGCCGTCGACAAAGCATGTGAAATGCCCCAAGCTCTCCCCTCTTTCCCACATCATGAATCAGCCGCAAGGACCCTTTCTTTTTCACCCCCTCCCATCGCGAGCAAAGTAAAAATAAGGTGAGCAGCTTTTCGTCCGGTTTGGCCATCAACCCAGCACCTCGCGGAACGGGGATCTGGGGAATGAACCCATGAAGGACCACCACCTTAGTATGATCTCCAGTATTCCCTTCAATCGTGGAGACACACCACACACAACCATCACCCAAGTTCAGGTACGGCCTCTTTTCCTGACTTTTCGTCCCAAGGCGCATTTCAAGCGAGAGAAGACAACAACCAACAGCCAATCAGAGACGACCAAGGGAAGCCCGGGAGTGGCACGCACCAGGTTGACTCGTCGTGCCGTGTTTCTGCCTTTCCTATTCTTCCCGCTGCCCGTGTCGCGGTCTTACGTACGCCAGCTACAACCAGAGCCTAGCCGTGTGCCTCAACTTGGGACGAAAGACAAAGGACACAGGCAGATCGGATAAGACAAGAGGAGGAAGAGAGGACATGACTCCACCTGTCTCTTCCTCCGTCATGCGCATGCGGAAACGCGTTCGACGATGAGGAGGTGCTTCATGCAGCGAGGGGGAAGTGGTCTGGACCGGTGGCTCTCGCTTTTTCACACGTGATGGGCTTTAGGAGGAGGGGAGGGAGTTTCTTGTTCCTGCTCTCCATCCTTCCTACGCGGGAACGAATTCGAGATTTTGTTGATGGGTGGATGGCCCTTTGCAGTGCATCCTGATGAAAGGTATTTTACTGTGATTACAGAGCGTATGTCCAAGTGACCTCAACAGCAACTGCATGTACGAATATCGGTATCAACTCCGATGGCTCGAATTGCTTTCCCAATCCGGAAGTCTTAACCGCTTGGCTGGCGGCAGCAAGCAGAGCCGCGTGGTTACAATTGACCTCAAAAAGGGGACGCTATTCCCGTCTGCTGAATTCGGACCGCAGGACGACGTCGAACCATGGGACATCCCAAGCGACCGGTAACTGTCCCGACAAATACCCCTCCGGAAGGGAACACGGCTTCCACCCCACATCAAAAGGACTGGCAGAGCCTCTCTGTATCTTGTCTGGCCCTTCTCCGCCCGAAGGTTGGTGACAGGCTGGCTGGAACCCTGTGACTCGGGATACGGTATGCAAGGTCCTGGTCCTGGGCACCAAATCCTCAAACTCTGGCAAGCCCATTTTGCCTAAACTGCCAGCCGGAGCATAGAGACAGAGATCGTGATCAGATGCCAAAAGAGCACTACACAACCTAGAATCATCTCTCTCCCCGACCCGTCAAACCCATGAGGCTGACAAGTGCGCAAGAAAGCTGGTGCCGCGACCCCAAGGATAATTGAATGGAGAAATCACACGCCCCCCCCTCTGGTCCCTCTCCGCCCTTTTGACGCCCAACGAACGGCATCCCTTGTCTTGGTTCGGGCGTTGGAAATTGTCAAAAGGGAGGAGCACAGCTGGGAGACAGGCCCTGGTAAAGCACCCTCGCTGAAGAATCGGCCGAAATTCTTCACTGTGTTTTTTTCCCTTCAGGTCTCTTTACCCGCAATCTCAAAGTCCACACCCGCAACCGCAACCGCCCAGGGATCTCCCGACAGGGGCATATCCGTTACCTGGGAACCGCCTCCTTGGGAAGGGGGGCCAGAAGAAGCTGGGGGCATAGGGATGGGAAATGGTCACAGGTTCACAGTCACTTTTTTGTTTTCCTTTTTGCCCATACCCGCAAAGGAGCCGCGGTGCAACCGACACTTTCTCCGGGAGCATAGCACTGAACACGCGAAAGGGCAAAAGGCTTGGTATGGTGTTGGTCAAATCATGAGGGAGTGAAGGCAAGAAAATGCCACGCGGCGACGT